GTCGGTTGAGCGTCCGTCTTCAGCCAGGTCACGATCTCGCGGTCCGTGAGTTCGAGCCCCGCGTCAGGTTCTGGGCTGACAGCTCAGAGCCTGGAGGCTGTTTCCGATTCTGTGTCTCCCTCTCTCTCTGCCCCTGCCCCGCTCATGCTCTGTCTCTCTCTGTCCCAAAAATAAATAAACGTTGAAAAAAAAAATTAAAAAAAAAAAACTCATCACAACTATTCGTTCACGTGGCTACCACTCCCTCACTCTGGGAGCAGCTTAAACTAGAACTCTGACACGTTCTACAGCATGTGAAACAGCTCCTCTCACAAAACCGGCGATCAATAAAGAACTGAGACTGACAACAATAACAGCAACCACCATTTCCCCATAAACGGGTGCTCCGGCGCTTCACTCTCATTATCCTAATCCTCACAACCATTTATAGGAGAGAAAAGGAAACTGACACAAGAGCTTATTTAAACGACCTGCCCGAGGCCCTGCTTCTAAAGACAGCTCCAACTGGATTAATCTGCACCAAGAATTCGTGATCAGTTCCCTACCAGGGCAGAAGGACGGAGAGATGGCGTCTCGGGAAGGGGGGCAGCCTGCCCAAGCCTCACTGCTTAACGTGCAGAGCCAGGACCGTATCCCAGGTGGACGGACCCCAGCTCAGGGCACCCGCGGAGGGCCCGAGAGGGAGGCGACACCTCCCGCCACCCTCGCCATCGCCACCCCTCGCTTCTGCCTTACCTGGATGTCCGACCCAGCTCTCTCTGGCTGCACCCGGACTGCCCCCACCCGGACCCCAACTCCTTCCTCAACTCCCTTCTCTAGTCGCTGAAACCGCGAGCGCGGGCTCTCGCGTCATCAGCCGGCGCCGGCGAACGGTCACATGACGCCCCGCCCTGCTCTCCGCCCCTCTGATCATGTGACCGCCAGGGGAGTCAGAGGCGGAAGCGGGGGTCCCGCAGGCTGGCGATCGAGGGCTGCGTCTAGAAGGGGACGCGTGCGGAGAGGGCGGCGTGGGGACCCAGGTGCCAACCCAGTCCGCGATCGCCGGCCCTGCACGTGCGCCCTGGCGTGGCCCGGGTGACAGGTGAGTTGGGGCGGGACGCGCCCTCGATTCGGTCCCCCGGCCCCTCCCCAGCCCCTGGCCGGGCCGCGCTGGCCGAAGGGGCGTCTGCGGCGTGCGGTGCGGTCTCGATGCGGAGCCCGGCTTGGAGGACTGAGGGGCCTCCTGGGGCGGGGCCGCAGTCCAGGCTCCTCATCCCCACTTAGGTGGACAGAATTTTCCACGCCGCCTGGGCGCTTTAGGAAGTGATGTTCAACTGCTTGGCCCGCATCTGTACCTTCCAAGTTTCCAGGAGCCGTGCTGGGTAGACAATGTTATCCCTCCGTTTGCCCTCGAGAAAATTGAGTGGTTCGCGAAGTCTCGTAGAGTCTGATGGACCCGGGTTTGAATTCTGGTAATGCCGTGGGCTGCGAGTTGGAGCAAGTCATTGTTGCTTTCTGCACCTTAATTCCCTCACCTGTGTCATGCTGGTGCCAAAGTTCTTTGCATTTCTCAAAACAGTTCCAAGGGCCCTGACTGGTTTATGGTCGCACGGTCGAAAACATAAGTCACAGAGCTGGTAATGGAGCCGGGTGTCCCGATTCCAAATGCACGGAGCTTACTCCAACATAGGTGATGGAGTCAGGGGAAGGAACGGAGAGGTCTTACTGGCCCACGACCAGGAGCACCTCCCGTTTCTCTTTCTCCTGTCCCTTCCAGGATTTATGAATGGGACTAGAGTGATCAGACTCATTTTAGAACTTTTCTGGAAGAGATTTGTCGGTCACTTTTATCTTGGTCAACAACCATTATATTTTGTTTCTGATAATGGATAGGTGGAGACCAGTGCTTCCTTTTTTATGGAACTGAGCTCTTATGAAAGGATAAAAATAGACCTGTGTTCTTTTGTCCTCTGAGTAGGGCAAACAGCGGTTTGTCCCCGGACAATTTTATTTCCTTCAGAATTCAGTTCTGTACTTACTCGGTAATTGGTATAATGATGCCATGCTGCATTCTTGAAACATGTTGTCTGTTGTCTAGGATTACTTTCCGAACTGTAAACCACAGTTCCATACTAAATGCTATGTTTTTAACATTTAAAAAGTCATTTATGAGTATATCTAGTACATATTATTCATTCTAATCTAAACACTCACTTTCAATCCCTCATGTGTTTATACACACAAATTTACCAAATATACACACATATTTACCATTACTAGTCGTTTCAGGATGGTTACTTTTGCATAAAGCTAAACATGATGTAAATTTCAAATAATTTTTTAATTTTATTTTTTAATATAATTTATTGTCAAATTGACTTACATGTAACACCCTGTGCTCATCCCAACAAGTGCCCTCCTCAATGCCCATCACCTATTTTCCCCTCTCCCCCCAGTCTCCCCCCCCACACACACTAAATTCTTAAAAATAAAGTTACAGCTACTTTTTGGGTGCTTTATAAAAGAAAATTAGGAAATTGAGTGGGATCTCTGGTTTCATTTCATGCCAAATAGTAATGCAGCATATACTGAGAAAAACTGGTCTTTATGAATTTTCTTCATCTCTAGCAGCAAAAGAACCACTGAATAGAAGATTCAATATGGGTTTTTCTGCAGTGTTTATTTGCACCTCACTCTAGAGTGATTTTTTAAAAATCTCAACCAAGTCTTAGCACCTTCTATAAAGCCACATAATTCTGAAATCACTGCAACATGATTAGGCATCTTTAATGTTGGTTCTTAGATTCTGTTCTTTAGGGCAAAACCTTGGGGTATTTACCAAATAATGTAACCAAATAATATCTTGAATGTTGCCAACAGTGTAAGGATTTAAGGATTACAATAAGAAGCAGATACACAAAAGTCTTGACATGTCATTATCCCAGGCCTAAGCTAACCTGACCATGTGCATGCAGGTGCTGAGTGTATCTGTTCATCCTTTTTTTTTTTTTGCTTGGGCAGGGAAGGCAAGAAGGCAGGTAATCGTGTTTTGCTTTAAAGATGCTTTCTCCATGGTCCCATTGTCTGGCCTGTGTTGGTATCCAGAATCTGGTTGCAGTTACAGCAGTGAAACATAGCTTGTCCACCTTGCAGTTGTGTCTGGAGTTTCTTCCTGCTTAGACCTGGTATCCTCAGACCTTAGATCTTTCTGGGTTAGTTTGGTGGTCTTCAGAGGACTTCAGTGACTTTTTCTTTCTCCCCCCCCCCCCATTTGCCATTATTTCCTCCTTTTTCTTGTCTCATTTTCCCAGCCACACCCATTCAGTGCAAAAAAAATGGAGTGAAATTGGGCCGCCTGGCTGGCTCAGTCAGTAGAGCATGTGACTGTTGATCTTGGGGTGAGTTGGAGCCCCACGCTAAGGGTAGAGTTTACTTTGAAAGAGGTGGAATGTGGGGCGCCTGGGTGGCTCAGTCCGTTGAGCGGCCGACTTCGGCTCAGGTCATGATCTCGCGGTCCGTGAGTTCGAGCCCCGCGTCGGGCTCTGTGCTGACAGCTCAGAGCCTGGAGCCTGTTTCGGATTCTGTGTCTCCCTCTCTCTGACCCTCCCCCATTCATGCTCTGTCTCTCTCTGTCTCAAAAATAAATAAACGTTAAAAAAAAATTTAAAAAAAGAGGTGGAATGAAATTATCTGAAATTCAGCGTATTAGAGATCAATGTGCCTTCACAAGTAAACATCATGAGAAAATGAAAGGGCTTGTTAATAATTTATGCCTTAATGTATATTAAAGGATACCCTCATTGGAGAGAGTTCTAGACAACTGTAATGGCTTCTTAGCAGTCCCTGCTCTTGGAGCAACCCCATCCACTTCCTCTGATCTGTGCTTCTATCCTTTGCTCACTCTGCACCAGCCACATCAGCCACTTTGCTGTTCCCGGAACACATCTAGTGCATTGCTGACCTGGGGCCTCTGCATTTACTTGTAAATCCTGCCTGGAATGCCCTTCTCCCAGATCATCACTTATTGTAAAATAACAAACTACCCCAACACCTAGTGGCTAAGACAAAAGACATTTATTGTCTTACAGTTTCTGTGGTCAGGAATCAGTTGGTGTGGCTTAGCTGGGTGCGTTCGGCTGAGGGGCTCTTGGGAGGTTGCAGCCTAGCTGTGAATAGATGCTGTCATCTGAAGGCTCAGCTCGGTTTGTGGGGGGGAGTCCCTTTTCAGGCTCATTCAGGTGGTTGTTGGGAGGCCTCTCACTCCCTCATCACAGGGCTCTCTTACAACATGACAGTTTGCTTTCTCCCAGAGCAAACAAGCTAGGGAACGCGCCCCAGCCAGAAGTCACAGGTTTTTTTGCAATCTAATCTGAGAAGTGATATCTTTTACATCTACCATATTCTGTTCTTTAAGAGATAGGAAGCCACACTCGAGGAGAGGGGCGTCCACAGGGCATGAATAAGGGGAAGGAGGGCCTCGGGGACTGTCTTAGGGGCTTCTGACAACACCCAGACACCCTTACTGCTTGCTGCCTCACTTCCTTCTGGTCCCTGCTCAAATATCTTACCAGAGAGGCTTTCACAAACTAAAACAGCACACACTCCGTCTCTTTATCATGCTTTTTCCTTCCCAGCAATGATCACAGGCTGATACCTAATGTATTTATTTGTTTATTGTCTCTTCCCCACTCCCAATAGTATGCAGGCTTTATGAGAGAGAGCAGGAACTTAGTTTTGTTCACTGAAGTAGCCTCAGTGCTTGGCACATAGTAGGCACTAGATGCCTATTTACTGAATGAATGAATCTGTAGCATTAGGAATGCTTCCACCTACAAATAATCCCAAAGCCAACTAGCAGTAAATAAAGCATAAAAACAGTTCATTTTACAAGGATTACAGAGATAGGTGGTGCTACAGTTGAATCAATGAGTCAGTCACCTCAACAAGAATTTAGAGTCTGTCTTTTCTTCCAAAGCACAGTCTGCAGGTTTGGGGCCTTTTTTCTCTTAGGCTCATCACCTCATGGTCTCAAGGTGGCTATTGAAACTTCAGACAAGACATGTTCATTGGGCCACATTCAAAGACCAGAAGAAGAGGGATAGAGGAAAGAGAGAAATTTCATGTGCTTCTCTCCTTATCGCAGGAGGGGAAAAAAAATTTCCTATCAGGTCTGCCGTAGACTACCTCTTACGTCTATTTGGTCGAAACTGAGTCACATGTGTAGCCTAGATTCGGGGGCAATGAGAAAATAAGGATCCACCTGTTCTGTCCTCTATAGGGAACAAGGGAAAGGAGGGAGGGAATTATTGTTGGAGAGTCAACAGCATCCTAGGAAATGAAGACATTTCTAGATGCTGAATCCATAAGAAGAGACTTATAAGAGGAAAAAAGAAAACCTTTAAGGGTTACACAAAAGATAACTACACGAGGTAGCTCAGCGCGAGTGAACTTTGAAAATATGTGACAAGGGTTGGGGAGTGTTTTGCTGGGGCTGCAGAGGAAGCCCTCTCCTGTCCAAAGTCTTCCCACATTCTGGTTTTGCGTACAGTGAAGTCCTCACTATTTTACTGTTTACTTTTTGACTCCCTGCAGCCAGAAGATTACATATGAACGTAAAAATTGGCATGGATATAAAAATGGTAACGATCACTTGTAAGATGAGTTCCCTTGCAGATATTCATGTACTAAAGAGTCTCTTGGGCTGAATTCTTGTTTTTGGTGGTCACTCTTCTTAATGCTAATGTCGTGTCGATAGGACACAGTGCCAGTGCAAATGTTAGGAAGTACACAAGCCTTCACAAAGTTGAAAAATAATTCAGGCCTGCATGAAGCTGACCCAATGATGACTTAGCTAAATTAACAAGTAGAGGAGAGCAATACAGCGAAGATGATGACAAAACTAACACTTTCAAAGATAATGATTTGAAAAAAAGAGTCGGAAGAGGCCTTTGGGAAAATGAATGCTGCCTTGAAACATTTTTTTTGTTGTTGCAAAAATTACCTTTTTCTAAGATCATGCTATGAAAGTCAGCTATGAAGTACAAAATATGTATTATCAAAATTACAATTTGGTGAGATCAACTTTCAGCGCATTCTTGGTATGTCCCTTGAGTTAGTACGTCCTTGTTGCAACTTTACTCTGAATTGGGGGTAAGTACGGAACTTCCTTTCATACGTTTTAATTACATCATTCCGAGATATCTTTCTAATCAAAACTTTTCCACCGCTCAGTATGAAACATTTGTCTCTACTTTAGCGTCACTCAGGAGTATTTCTCAGGTATGTCTTACCCTTGATAACAAGGGCCTCCTGTGTTTTCCGTATGAGAAACACTTTTTTTCAAGGTGGCTCCCTCACCTAATTCGAGTGGATTTGAGGCACAGTTCTCTTTTCCAGAGGTAAAACAAGCGTTAGCAAAGGTAAGACAACTCCCGTAAGGACAATTTAATAATCAGTGCCCAACATAGGGCACGTTGGAACCGCGATGCTCACTGGCTCCTCCCAGCTGCATCAGGTCCTTTCTCATGGGGAGAAGTGAATAAAGGATTGAAAACAGGCCAAGAGTGTTCACTGAGCAAAGTCCATCCACATGGAACACCGGGAGGAGTGGACAATAAAGGCCCTTCCCTCATGTCGGAACTCATGCATGTGTTACATATGCTCCCTTTAAAAATGGAGATTTTTGGGGCGCCTGGGTGGCGCAGTCGGTTAAGCGTCCGACTTCAGCCAGGTCACGATCTCGCGGTCCGTGGGTTCGAGCCCCGCGTCAGGCTCTGGGCTGATGGCTCGGAGCCTGGAGCCTGTTTCCGATTCTGTGTCTCCCTCTGTCTCTGCCCCTCCCCCGTTCATGCTCTGTCTCTCTCTGTCCCAAAAATAAAATAAAAATAAAAAAAAAAAAAACGTTGAAAAAAAATTTTTTTAAAAATAAAAATGGAGATTTTTTTTTTTATACTTTTCTTTTGGGATACAGGTCCTTTAATGGAGCAGCCAATCTGTCAGCAGACCTGGTTTCATCTAATGATTTACAGACCTCTGCTCTGAAGCCACTGAAACATTCCTCCCGGCCAGGCACTCATCCGCACGATGTTGGACTTCCTAGCTGAGAACAACCTGTGTGGCCAGGCAATCCTAAGGATTGTTTCCTGTGGTAATGCCATCATTGCTGAACTTCTGAGGCTCTCGGAGTTTATCCCTGCTGTGTTCAGGTTTAAAGACCGAGCCGATCTACAGAAATATGGAGATATCATCTTTGATTTCAGCTATTTTAAGGTAACCTTCCTCCATAGCATTTTGAACGCTATCTTTCCTACAAAAGCATGCTTTCTCTGGGAAGTGTGGGACCCTGAGAGGCTAAGTAATTATGGAGAAAGAGTTAAAGAGGAAAGCTTTTATACCACGTTTAGCGTCAGCTAACTAATTTGAAAATAATATAAAGGTGTTGTGTGGAAGCCCTAACATAACATAATCACACTTTTAAAAAGATAACTTTGGTGAAACGTATTTTACAGTGAAGGACCCCACACTTAAAAGCTTGCCGATCATGGTTACAATCCAACTTTGTTTCTTTCAAGGGGATTCCGTATCTAGGCGTCTGTTATCTCTGTTACTTTCTGTTGCTCCTCTTTCAATTTCTCATCTCCTTTTTCAAGCATAGGAACACATTTTTAAAAGACTGTTTAGAAAATGTTACCAACGTGGGGCGCCTGGGTGGCTCAGTCGGTTAAGCCGCCGACTTCGGCTCAGGTCATGATCTCGCGGTCCGTGAGTTCAAGCCCCGTGTCGGGCTGTGTGCTGACAGCTCAGAGCCTGGAGCCTGCTTCAGATTCTGTGTCTCCCTCTGACCCTCCCCCGTTCATGCTCTGTCTCTCTCTCTCAAAAATAAATAAACGTTAAAAAAAAAAATTAAAAAAAAAAAAGAAAATGTTACCAACAAGTATGCTTTTGTTGACGTTTCACATGAATGTGTTTTTCTTCTTAGGGTCCAGAGTTATGGGAAAGCAAGCTGGAAGCTAAGCCAGAGCTACAGGATTTAGATGAAGAGTTTCGTGAAAACCACATAGAAATTGTGACCAGATTTTATTTAGCCTTTCAAAGTGTGCATAAATATATTGTAGACCTAAACAGGTATTAATTCAGTAATAGCTTATTCTGGGGGTAAATAGTGGAAAAGGGACGTGCCAGAGCGTGCACGCCTTCCTGAGTTCCTCTCCTACTGTGCGTAATCGTCTTTTCCTTCCAGTGGCACTTGTCACCTTTAGTATTTTAGAGTGTTGTTATGCTTTCCTGCTCTTGTGAAGCGGTACGATAACCTCGGCTTGTACTGAGTCATGGCTTTCTTTTCTTTTTTTTTCCTCATTGAGGTATAGTCCACGCATAATGTTTACATTAGTCTCAGGTGTGCAGCATAGTGATCTGGTAGCTCTGTAAGTTCTGCTGTGCCCACAAATAGCCACCGTCTGTCGCCGTGCAGCACCCCCTTCACCCCTGGGACTCCATAACTGGAAGCCTGTACCTCCCTCGCCCCTTCCCCCATTTTGCCCACCCAGCCCCCACCCCATCCCACTCCCTCTGGCAGCCGTCAGTTTGTTCTCTGTATTAAGCCATCTGGCTTTCCATCCTGTAGTTTATGATCATATTTTAGCATCTTCTTTAGGAGAAGTGGAGAAAAAGCTTATTTTTATAGCATTAGTAACCGTAGCCTGCCATCTCATCCCTAACTACACAGTATTTTCTTCCTTTCAGCCCTTAAGAATTCATTACTCAGCAGTTTTTAAACTATTCCATGTCTTTATAACGTTACTTCTAAGATACTTATGATTCATAAATCGGGACTAGAGACGGTTCTTTCTCCTTAGAGTAGCCAGTGTTAGCAACCTGTGGCCCTAACCACTGGGAGTTCCATTCCACGAGTCCATTCTTAAAGAGCATGAAGGGCCACAAACGTTTGAAGGCCAGAATGTCTGGTGTCTTGTCTTATCTTTTAAAAATCTTTATATTCCTTCTTCAAAAGTGGTCATGTTTTCATTAGAATGAATAACTTGCCCTGGGGTTTCATTTCTAGATATCTAGATGATCTCAATGAAGGTGTGTATATTCAACAAACCTTAGAAACTGTGCTCCTCAATGAAGATGGAAAACAGCTTCTAGTAAGTAATAGTAGCCACTTAAAATAGAAAGTCAAGAATGTCAACTTTTTTCCCATACGTCCCAAACACATACAAAGTACCCTTCTTTAAAGGGAAGCAAATAAACTGACAGTTCTCTTCTAATCAACAATATCTGAATTTAGAACATAGTAGACTGAACAGAATTACAAGTGAGTGGAAGTCATGGGGTGGTTGTGAACTTCCTCAGCGCAGTCCTATCTTCTTTATCTTCTGCATCCCAGACCTGTAGCCTTGGAAACTAGTACGTGATAGTCACTTAAGAAAAGTTCATTAAACAGGTAAAGGGTTTAGAAGTATTCATAATGTTGGGACTCCATTTGGGGCCCCAAGCGAAATACCAAAAATAGGCCAATTGAAAGGTAATCACTGCAAATTAAAATTTATTTCCCATAAATTTTTCAAAGCCCATTCTGTACAGAAGGTGAGAGCCTTTGGGAAAATCTGCATTCTCCTTGTAATATGAAGCCTTTAGGAGGAATAGGAACAAAGTGTTTCTTTTTAACCCTCGTCAACTTCATTCCATAAGAACGTAGCTCCTGTGAGTTGGGCCATTGTCTTTCTCTCTTCATAGTGTGAAGCACTGTACTTGTACGGAGTCATGCTGCTGGTTATCGACCAAAAGATCGAAGGAGAGGTCCGAGAGAGAATGCTGGTTTCCTACTATCGATACAGGTATCCCAGGGCTGGGACCGCACCCCCCCAAAAGCACTGCTATTGGTAAAATGAAGTAGTTTCTGTACTACTTTCGTCGTGAATGGCAGCGGTACGATCTAGAATGAAAGGCGTGAGATTCTTATTTCTTCTGAACGTAATGGAGAAATGTAACAATTACTCTATATTTGTGTCATTACCATAATAATAGATTATATATCATGTAATCTATATATTACACATAAAGGAGCCTATGTGTTTTAGATTATTAGAGATACATAGATCATCATGTCCACAATAGTACCTTAGTTTTTTTTTTTTTTTTCTTTTAAAAAGGAACTGAATTTTCTTTATCTTAAAGGTAAATTTGGGAATGTTGGAAGTCTAATGAATGTTCTTTTTTTTTTTTTTAAGTTTTTAAATATTACACCTTGGCAGATGTAGGGACATGAATAAATTTTCTGTTGTCATTTTTGGTTTGATGACTTTGGAAAGCTATTTCTCAGAGTTAGGTGGGAAGTGAAGTCTCACCTGAATATATGTGGAAACAAAACAAGAGCACATATCACAATCACGTGTTTCGTATGTCTGTCCAGAACTATGACTTTAAGGGGTAGGGTCTTTAAGTCAGAAGCCACCTTAAAGTTCTATAATTCCAGTATCTACCACACAGATTTCAACGTGCTGAGTTAATGAGTCAAAACCTGGATGTAAGGTCAATATTAGAAAAAGTCAAGGGGTGCCTGGGTGGCTTAGTCAGTTAAGCGACTAACTCTTAGAGATTTCAGCTCAGGTCATGATCTCATGGTCTGTGAGTTCGAGCCCAACATCAGGCAGAGCCTGCTTCAGATTCTCTCTCTCTCTCTCTCTCTCTCTCTCTCTCTCTCTCTCTCTCTGCCTCTTCAACACGTGCATGCTCTCTCTGTCTCTCAAAATAAATATATGAACTTTAAAAAAAATAAGAGAAAAAGTCAAGATTTGGGAAGAAACAAATGATAGGCAGGAATCAGCAATGTGAGCTGAAGATGTGCAGACTGGAATTAACATTCTTTTTTTAAACATTTATTTATTTATTTTTGAAAGAGAGCACGCTCAGGGGAGGGGCAGAGAGAGAATCTTAAGCAGGCTCCACGGTGTCAATGCAGAGCTTGATATGGTTCTCAAACTCATGAACCATGAGCATGTCCTGAGCCAAAACCAAGAGTCGGACACTTAACCGACTGAGCCACCCAGGCACCCCTAGTATTCACATTCTTAAACTTACAAATTGGGACAAAATAAATAGGACAAAGGGGCAGATCCTCAGCACAAAGGGATTGTTGGGGACATCATCTTTTCAGCGACACCTGCTACTGCTGCCCCTTAGCAGCCCCTGCTACTGCTGCCCCTTCATCGCAGGCTGCGCAACTAGCCCATGTACTTCAGCTTCATCAGTATGTGAGGAGAGTGTCCTCAGCAGACATAATTCATTCACATCAGTTTGACCATGAGGTGTTTTGTCATCCATGTTTTTAAAAATGAACTTTGAAATTTTTTTTAATGTTTACTTACTATTTTTGAGAGAGAGACAGCATGAGCAGGGGAGGGACAGAGAGAGAGAGGGAGACACAGAATCTGGAACAGGCTCTGGGCTCTAAGCTGTCAGCAGAGAGCCTGACGCAGGGCTCAAACCCGTGAACCGTGAGATCATGACCTGAGCCGAAGTCGCACTCTTAAGTGACTGAGCCACCCAGGCGCCCTTTAAAAATGAACTTTGAATGCCCTTGTGTATATTTCCAAAAGTACCTGGAAAACCAAAAATAATAAATGACATAAAGAAGGAGAAAAAAGGGTTTGCTCATCAAGGCCAGCTTTAACAATTCTGCTTTGTCCTTTTGGGTACAACAGTGAATTCATTAGAATGTGAGGACCCATTACCGAAGTGACCCTGAACAATCGCCAAGTCAGAGTTGTGGGAAAGCAGATTCTTGTATCAAATAGGAGGTCATCCTCAAGTCTAAGATTCTTTGAGTCTGAGGATTACCACTCCACACCACCCTGAAAATCACAGATGTTTTGATTCAATCTCTGTAGAAGGTACACCTTGCCAAGGGGAAAAAAAAAAAACAAAAAACGATGATTATATATCCCACTTTATGTTGACATATCTTTTAAAATTATTTTTTAACCGGGGGCGCTTTCATTCGGTTAAGCATCTGACTTCGGCCCAGGTCATGATCATGGTTCATGGATTTGAGCCCCATGTTGGGCTCTGTGCTGACAGCTCAAAGCCTGGAGCCTGCTTCAGATTCTGTGTTTCCCTTTCTCTCTCTCTCTCTCTCTCTCTCTCTCTCTCTCTCTCTCTCTCAAAAATAAATAAACATTACAAAAATTTTTTTAACTATTTTTTTTTTCAACATTTATTTAATTTTGGGACAGAGAGAGAGCATGAACGGGGGAGGGGCAGAGAGAGAGGGAGACACAGAATCGGAAACAGGCTCCAGGCTCTGAGCCATCAGCCCAGAGCCCGACGCGGGGCTCGAACTCACGGACCGCGAGATCGTGACCTGGCTGAAGTCGGACGCTTAACCGACTGCGCCACCCAGGCGCCCCTAACTATTTTTTAACTTATGAAATGTTGGTACTGGATCACATTCTTTATCTGTAACTCTGAAATCCAAAGAGCTCTCAAAAAAATATATGCATGTCTACACACACATGCGTGCACATAGTAACTCCCCTGGCAGCAAACTCTGATCTCACCTGAAGCCATTTGGAGTCAAAACCTGATCAGTCCAGATCGGGGCTATAGATGGTCCTTATTTATCTCATTTGCATGACAATTCATAAATTTTGCTGCAGAAATATTAACGTGTGCTGATCACGTAATGCTAATTGAGACCCTACTTAAAGTGTTGTATACGATCTACACGCCATGTTAATTTCTTACATTTGAAAAACGCAGTATTCTGAAACAAATCCAGCCCTAAAGATTTTAGACAAGGGATTGTGGACCTCAACTTAGAACTAACTATACATACGTGTAAGAATCCGTCTGGTAAGTTTGCTATAATAAGCTTTTTGAAAATGCAATTGTGAATCTCCGGGGACATAGACTGACCAGGAGTCTTATGTAAAACTACATAAAGTCAAGTTATGATGAAATTCTGCTCTTTTGGACTTTTGAGTTTCTAAGCTGTGTGGTTTGTTTGGCCCTTTGTTTCCCATTGTGAACGTGGTTCAGCGCTGCTCGATCTGCTGATTCAAACATGGATGATATTTGTAAGCTGCTACGAAGTACAGGTTATTCCAGCCAACCAGGAGCCAAAAGACCACCCAACTATCCTGAGAGTTATTTCCGGAGAGTGCCTATCAATGAAGCCTTCATCAGTATGGTCATTGGTCGACTGAGATCTGATGATATTTACAACCAGGTGGGGATCAAATCTACCAACATCTTCGTTGTTTGAAAGATTGATTTCACTTTCCTCCTCAATTACTCCTTCCCTTCCTTATTCCTCAGAAGAACAAAAGCACCTAAAAAAGCCCAAACTTTTTGAGGTCTACTATAGTTTGGTAGAGGAAAAAGGGATAGTAATTTGGGAAGAATTTGAGATTTCAGGGAGAGGATGGGATTTGAACTATATTTGGAAAAAAGATCATTCTCTCAGCCATTCATTCAACATAGAGTTACTGAGTGTGTTACATGCCTGTCCACAAGCTGGGTGCTGGGAGGCCATCACTGACAAAGACAGGTCATGGTCCCTGCCCATAATGAGCTTGTAGCTGAGGAAAGAAGACAGACAACTAAAGGAATTACTGTAAAGCAAGGTGAGTGATAGCTTAGGGGAAACACAGGTTGCCACGGAGCATACAACAGGGGCAACAGATTGCAGCAGGTGGCGAAGGGGACGTAAGGACACTACGAGAAGGCAGCTTGAGCAGGGCCGTGAAGACCCTGTAACATTTATAAGTTACTTCCCTTTCCTCTCTAGTATGTGTATCGCTCATGTAAGAGGGCACCAAGGAAAATTACCACGTGACTTCAATTTCCTGAAGAAAACATAATTTTAGGGGCACCTGACTGGCTCAGTCAATAGAGCATGTGATGCTTGACCTCAGGGTTGTGAATTCAAGCCCCCACATTGCATGTGGAGATTACCTCAAAATAAAATCTTAAAAAACAACAACAACAACAACAACAACAAAAAAAGATACATAATTTTATGTATCAGGTATTTTTCTTACCAAAGAATTGGACCCGTAACAGCCGAGTATTGTTTATCACAGAGCACAGCTGCCCTACCCAGTTCTGCAAGTACCCGGTTAGTTTTCTTTATGAATATTATAAGTATCAATAAAAGAGGTTTGTGTGTGTGTTTTAAAAACAGCTCAAAATCAGAAGCCACCTGCAGATACTGGGTCTTCATAATTTGTTGCCATTTATTGAGAATTTGGTACCAACCAGAATCATAGTTGATTTTCTTCCTGAACTGTTCTCTCTCTCCTCAGAACAGTCCTGCAGAGTGGACAACATTATCCTCATGTTGCTGTTGAGAAAAATAAGGCTTAGGGAGCTTCATAATTTTTCACAAGGTCATGTAACTAAGTATCAGAACCCGAATTTGAACTTGGGTCTATACGACTTCAGGGGCCATGCTGCTTCTCACTGCCTGTCTTTACCCCTTCTGCCTCGTATGGGGTCCATCTTGTCCGTGTCTCCAGGCAGTGAGTTTCAGTTTTCTCTTGCCCCATGACCATACTAACACAGGGCCTCGGCTGTGGTATGCTGTGTACCCACCCCACTCACTGCCCGGCACCTGCCCCGTCCCTGGTCATGGTGGGTTGGACAGGGGCAGTCACTTGACCCAGGACGGATCAGATTCCCTGTTAGGTGATTTGGAATGGGGCCCCAGAAACATCATCTGCACGTGGGTTTACTCCTCACACGCAAAATTTGGAATTTGGGGGCAGCCCCGTTCTCCCACGTGTAAGATGAGAGGAGCAAGGGAGAAGGGGCAAACACATCAAGGGGTGGAAACGGTGAAGGCTTTGTGGCCCACAGCTCCAGACCCTTCCTGTAGCCCGGCCACGCTCCTGCTTGTGGGTTCCCTGCCACGTCGCTGTGTCCACCCTCGTAGCAATTTCCTCCCTTTTTGTTTGTGGTCCTCGAGGTGACGCGTACTGTGTGCAGCCAGGTCACCGACCCATGTGGTGACGGAGCCCTGGGATGCACCAGCACCTGAAAGGCAGGCAGTGGAACACCCAGCAAAGCAGGGCAACAGGGGTGGCGTCTGTGAACCTTGAGAGAACTGAAGTGAGAGTGTGAAACAGAGGCTGTTGGAGCAGCGTGATTGTGAGGTGACGAGTGACTTGGAGAGATCATAGGTGATGGTGCAGGGCACGTTTCAGGGAGCTGTAGAATGAACAGGAAGTGAGAAAATGGGGACAGGGTGTGGGGTCTGTCAGTTCTGAAAGACTGTCTGTGATAGAAAGACCCAGAGGGGCGCCTGGGTGGCTCAGTCAGTTGAGCGTCCGACTTCGGCTCAGGTCATGATCGCATGGTTTGTGGGTTCAAGCCCCGTGTCGGGTCCTGTGCTGACAGCTCAGAGCCTGGAGCCTGCTTTGGATTCCGTGTCTCCCTCTACCTCTGCCCCTCCCCAGCTTGTGCTCTGTCTCTCTGTGTCTCAAAAGTAAACGTTAAAAAAAATTTTTTTAAAGAGAGACCCAGAAATGGACAATTAGCAGGAGACATGGGGGTAAAACATTTTTCTCCTCCTTGAGGCAAAGACTTCAAGTTGCAGTTGAGTCAAGGGCTGGAGGGAAGAGAATGCTGTGTGGTTAGCAAGAAGAACGGCCCTGGTTGTATTGTCCTCTAACAAGGCCACAGTCTGAGGATCGCACGCGGGGTCCAATTCCCAGAGGGGATGGACTCTTGAGAGACTGGGACGTCCTGGAACCACATCATTTACTGGGCATGTGTATCAGTTCACAAGTCACCAACAGCTGCCTCTTCAGGGTGTTGTCTCTGTGTTGCAGGTCTCCGCATATCCTTTGCCAGAACACCGCAGCACGGCCCTGGCCACTCAGGCCGCCATGCTGTACGTGACCCTCTACTTTGAACCTGCCATTCTTCACACCCATCAAGCGAAAATGAGAGAGATTGTGGACAAGTACTTTCCAGACAACTGGGCAAGTATCACCATTAGACTTTTTGTCCTCTGGAATAATCCTGTTAGGGAACCAACTCTGCGGTCTTTTGGCCTTTAGCCCAGAGATCAGAATGTTGTAAACGAGACATTAAGTCACATTGGCGAAACTACTCTAAGTGTGTGGAGAATCTCCTGAATCATGACATGAGGTAGTAAGTCAGTAAAACTTGGTGAAGAGCCCATGGGTTTGTTTTTTCTCTCTTAAATGGATACTCTGAAGGTAAAACCCTATATTGAAATGTTCTCGCTTTAGCTGCTGAATTGTAACTGTTTCACATGCAGTGAAACATACTTTCTTCTTTTCTGTTTTATGAATCTAAGCTTTCAAAATTAATCTGTTACTTTACGAATAGGAGTGTTACTTTAATAATAAGTTTTATCTATCTGTAAGCTAACGTTGATGGGGCTGTTAAAGTTTATATTATTGCAGAGATGTGCTTGTGACTTTTTAACATTGTGTCACTCAAAACTCAATTCTTTGAAAAAAAATTTTTTTTAATGTTCATGTATTTTTGAGAGAGAGACATAGAGTGTGAGCAGGGGAGGGTCAGAAAGAGAGGGAGACACAGAATCAGAAACAGGGTCCAGGCTCCGAGCTGTCAGCACAGAGCCCGATGCGGGGCTTGAACTCACGATCCGCCAGATCATGACCTGAGCTGAAGTGGGACGCTTAACCTACTGAGCCACCCAGGTGCCCCAAAACTCCAATCTTAAAAACATAAGGCTGACTTGACATACTCAGTGTAGATGAGATGTTCTCCTTGTACGTAGAGGTTTTGATAAAGTACAGTGAATTGGATCCTGGTCTCAGGGAACAGATTCTGTTTCACTTCTTATCAGTCATTGAATCACAGACTGTGATTAGGGAGCCTGCAGTGAGATGTGATGCTTCCTACCCACGAACGCATCGTGCTTATAAGCTAGGAGCTGAGCAAACAGAAGGAAAACTCTGATAATCTGGTTTCATTTGCTAAGCATAATAAAGAGTTTCGACCATAGTGCTACAATGAGAAACAGTAACACATTTAGTGTTAAGGAAGGTCAAAACCCACTTATGTGAAGCTTACAAGAGACCCTCCTGAAAAACACCCCTGACATGCTAAAAATGAAAGAATTTAAAAAGCGAGTGAGATGCCAGGCAAATGCCACCCAGTAAAAATCCAGTAAGAAAATACTTACATCACACCATAGAGACCTTTAAAGAAAAACCTGCGTAGGGATAAAGAGGGATCATGTATGATATTAAAAAGAATAATCCAGGGTGCTTGGGTGGCTCACTTGGTTAAGCGTCTGAGTCTTCAGTTTGGGCTCAGGTCATTATCTCACGGTTTCATGACTTCAAGCCCCACATCAGGCTCTGCGCTGGTGGTACAGAGCCTGCTTGGGATTCTCTCTTTCCCTCTCTCTCTACTCCTCCACTTCCCATGCTGTCTCTCTCTCTCTCAAAATTAATAAATAAACTTAATAAAATTTTTAGGAAAGAATAATGCAAGGTAAATTCATACCCAGTGACATACTCAAAATACATAAAGCAAAAACTCAAAATAACCTATAAAAGTTGAGAAAACCATAATCATGATGGGAAATTTTAATATACCTCTTTCTGTACATAATCCTGCTCTCCCAAAAATACACAATAGATGTTCTGTGTGTATTTGAAAGGATACATATACAAGTTGGGTAACATTAGATCACAAAGTTAAGAAAGCTTTAAAAAACGATGTTAGTCTACAGACTGTATTCTCTTACTGTAACTCAATTAAATTAGAAACCAACACTTAAAAGATATTTTTAAATGTTTAGAAAAAACTAACTTTTGTGTTCAGGAGGAAATCACAATATAAATGAAGAAATATCAAAACACTACAAAGCGAAGCTTACGAGAATGACTAAAAACTGTTCTTAAAGGTAAATGTTGGCGCGCCTGGGTGGCTCAGTCTGTTAAGTGTACGACTTGAGCTCAGGTCATGATCTCGTGGTTTGTGGGTTTGAGCCCCGCATCAGGCTCTGTGCTGACAGCTCAGAGCCTGGAGCCTGCTTCGGATTCTGTGTCTCCCTCTCTCTCTCTGCCCCTCCCCCACTTGCACTCTGTCTCTCTCTCTCTCAAAAATAAACGTTTAACAAAAAACTAAAAGATCAATACCACAAAGGCTGGTTTTTTGAAGAGTAATAAAAAGATATTTTGCAACGCTGATCAGAGAGAGGGAGAGAGAAGGCAAGTTTAAATATGTGAAGATTGAAAAAGCAGACCCGAGATACAATAAAGAAGTTTTGAAGTTATCAGAAGACCTGTGAACAACTTTATGCCGATATATTGGAAGACTCTGAAAAATGGAAAATTCTCTCAAAAATAGAACGACTAGATCTGATTCGAGAAGAAAAGGGAAGCATGACAAGCCCAGTGACTGTTGAAGAAATGGAGCTGGGGATCCGCCTCCCTGCTCAGCCACTCCCACCAAAAAGAGCACCCCCGGGATCGCAGGATTTCACAGGCAACCCTGAGCAAAGCTTCAAGGGACAAATAATCGCAATTTTATACAGACTCAAGTGGGTAGGTGAGGAACCCCAAAAGGAACGCTTTGTTTCCTTTACTCGAAGGATTCTCAAGTGAACTGGGGAGCCCTAGGGGTCCCCAAGGCTCATTCAAGGGTCCGTGAGGTAGAAACAGAGTGAAGTGCTCTGCGCCTTGCCCTGTCCCCCCTTTGCCAAGTCCACACGGCACTCCCAGGGGCCCCGAGGCAGGCAGCGCGGGAGACCCACTGCGGAATCCGGATCCAAGCCCAGCTGTCTTCGGTCAGGCCAGACGCTGCAGAGACTCGAAGAAACCGAAAGGCGATGCCACGCGTCTCACAAAACTTTTTGGGAAAGCCTTTAGTCTGATTTTTTTTTTTTTTTTAATTAAAAACAGTTTTCTGTTAGCATGTAATGGGTGTACTATTTTTTTTTTTCAACGTTTTATTTATTTTTGGGACAGAGAGAGACAGAGCATGAACGGGGGAGGGGCAGAGAGAGAGGGAGACACAGAATCGGAAACAGGCTCCAGGCTCTGAGCCATCAGCCCAGAGCCTGACACGGGGCTCGAACTCACGGACCGAGAGATCGTGACCTGGCTGAAGTCGGACGCTTAACCGACTGTGCCACCCAGGCGCCCCGTAATGGGTGTACTATTACATGAAGTGAATTAATAAGTATTTTTTGAAATGTCTCGATTGTGATGTGTAATAGGATAAGGATCAATAGATAGAACCCCATTTGAAAAAAACACAAAAAGTCCTTGGGAGTTTTCAGTAACTTTGAGTTGCGTAAAAGCTGAGGTGAAAATGTTTGAGAACGCCACTGTTCAGTCAGTCTGCTTTTCTGTCAACCCTGATTTAGTCGTTTTCCCATAAATGGCTTTTGTAGCCCTTGTTCCAAAGTGCTCCTGAGAAAATGCTTACCTATATCTTTGGCAAATCGGGGTTTTTCACTGCAGTGGAATTTGAACCAGAGGGAGTGGGCAGTGTTTTCTGTAAATCTGCCTCCAGACGAGTAGGTATTTAACACACTGGATGAATGTGTCCTCTTTCAGGTAATTAGTATTTACATGGGGATCACAGTTAATCTAGCAGATGCTTGGGATCCTTACAAAGCTGCAAAAACTGCTTTAAACAATACTCTGGACCTTTCGAACGTCAGAGAACAGGTAGGTGCTGGCCAACGGAGAAGGATTCCGTCACAGCTACAAGCCTGCTTTATGGCGTGGGAAATGAGTAGAGTTCCCAAGGAATTTGGAAAATGTCCACATAGACATTTTAGTGCAGTGATGAATGAAAGGTGAATTTTGCGCATCCTAATAAGATAGGTAATGATCGATTTTTGTAACTTATGTGGTATATGTAAAGGGGAGGCTTGGGTCTTAAGATTCAGCGTCCTAAGACAAATCGGTATGTCACATGGCCCCAGCTGACTTTGTTTATTCTTGTCGATGTGGATGGAATGGCTTTCACGGGTTGCTGGAATTTTAGTGTTTTCGTTGGTAGGATGCGTGTTGAGGATGGTATCTGAGCATACGCAATACGCCCTGTCACTGTAATTTCTATTTATGTTTTAAATTTATTTATTTTAATTTTTTGGTGCAAGAAGGTGTTTTTATTAAAGCACGGGGACAGGACCTGTAAGCAGAAAGAGCTGCCCCGTCACTGTAATTTAAATTTATCATTTCTGATGTATGAAACCAGCAAGAAGACTGAAGACCTTCCTCTCCTTAAAGTTTATGCTTACAGTCTATCTCTTTGATAAGAGCACAAGGCAGGAGGAAATTCCTAAGTAAACAGAGCCATAAAAATCTTTTTTTGGGCAGTATCCTTGACATTTCTAAGTTATCTTCCTCAGCCTGGCTGTCTGAGTTCTTGAGTTTCCGGGGCAGATAGAACGACATTGAGTCCAAGAACTTCAGCATGTTTTATTCAAGTAAATTACATTCCATAAATAATGCATAAAATAATTTCAACTTCATGTCTCCTGGAAATATACTAGAGAAAGTGATGCTTCTGATGCTTACTGGCATCAGAGCATTAATTTTTTCATTACTATAATTAGTTTCCAAAATTGCCTTTTCTCTCTGGTGCCATTTTAAGAAGATTTCAGAATTGTCTGATGAAACACCTTGTGGTAGTTTTAAACTAACCTGATGAGGTTGATGATGTTTAACATGTAACTCTTGCTTCAGAGAAAGTAGAATGACCCAAATCCCCAAAGGCTGGTTTGAAAATTCACTGGATTGAAAAATACACAGAGGTGTATTTTTGTTGTGCTCTCGTCTGCCTGTAGAAGCCTCTTCTTCTGGATATTTCTGCCCTGCCTCCTTTGTCAAGAATCATGGGAAGAATAGACAGTTGAGCCTATGTTTCTTTTCTATCCAAGTTGAGAACAGAAGGGGCCCTGGGAACCACTGGATACAGTTCTTTAGTTGACATTTGAAGAAACCAGGAGGGAGAGGTTAACCCCAAAGTCAAACCAATATCTAATCATAGCTAGAGGTAGGAGGTAGGATTCTCTTGGTTCTGAGTCCAATGCTCTTTTCAAAAGTGTCCAACGGGGCGTCTGGGTGACTCAGTTAAGTGTCCGACTTCAGCTCAGGTCATGATCTCACAGTTTGTGAGTTCAAGCCCCGCATCGGGCTCTGTGCTGATGGCTCAGAGCCTGGAGTCTGCCTCGGATTCTGTGTCTTCCTCTCTCTCTGCCCCTCCCCCCCTCACGCTCTGTCTCTCTCTCCTAAAAAATAAACATTAAGAAAAAAAATGTCCAACAAACCACTTGCCTCTGAGTCTTACCAACTATGGTCCACATATTATTCACCTCCTGTAGAAATGTTATTACTTGTCAATGGGTTCATCTGTATGGGATTCATTTTCTAGGAAAGTAATTTTCTCTTTTTGAAAATGTAATTCAGGCTTTTTCTTTTTCAAAGTCAAGCAGATACGCTACCGTCAGTGAAAGAGTGCACACTCAAGTGCAACAATTTCTGAAAGAAGGGTATTTAAGGGAAGAGATGGTTCTGGACAATATCCCAAGGCTCCTGAACTGCCTGAGAGACTGTAACGTGGCCATCCGATGGCTGATGCTTCACACAGCAGACTCAGGTAATGGGCGAAAGGTGTGCCCATCTGTATGGCTCCACTTAAAGGCTTTCAGAGCTAAGATATGCCCCGCGGTGCAAAAATTGTTTAGCCTTTGGATGAGAATCAAGTGGCTTTTTAAGTTAGTCGTTTTTGTGTCTACTTGGACAAGTCAACAGCTCACCTGAATAGGCCCCTTTGTCAGGTTTGATTATCCGGGATTATCCCAGTAGGTCCAGTATAATCACGAGGGTCCTTAAATCGGGAAGAGGGAGGCAGAAGAGTCAAAACTAGAGAGGTGGAATCATGAAAAAGCCTCAACAGACCATTCCTGGCTTTAAAGATGGGAGGGGCTACAAGCCATGGAATATGGTGGCCTCTAGATGCTGAAAAAGATAAGGAAACAGGATTTCCCCAGAGCCTCCAGAAGGAGCCTGCAGAAGGAGCATAGGCCTGCTGCCTCCTTGATTTTAGCCCAGTGACACCCATTTCAGATTTCTCCTCTCTGGAGCTGTAAGAGAATACGTTTGTGTCCTTTTAAGCCATTACATTTTTGGTAATTTGTTACAGCAGGAAACTAATTGAAGAGCCAAGCCAGTAAATAAGAGCCAGATGTGTAAAACAGACACTTAGTGGGATTTCGTCCAGAGCAGGAGAGAAATGTTGCTTGGGGTAGTGGGTGAAGGTGGCTGGGGAAGGCTCCATACAGGAGGCAGGAAGGATTCTGAAGTAAAAAGAAGTTCTAGACTGGAGAAATGATGGGGGGGGGGAGGAGGGGGAAGGTACGATTTTGGAAGTACAGGAAACCATGGGCCCACAGAGTTGATAAACAGGCTGAACCTGAGTGCCTCATAAAGGTAGATCAGGTCTAACCTTTTCTGGCCCACAGTCCTCTTGGAGACGCTATTGGCCATCAAGTTCAGTTGCTTCACAGGTTGTATGAAATGCCTTCACAGGGTCTGTGAGCCTATGACTTAAGAAGCTCCCGATTTAATGAAAAAACAAGTAGGTTGGACTAACCTGAGCTTGTTCAGAGCTGACACAGTTCCTCGTACTCAGTGAAGGCTGGATCAGTGTTAGTTAACCAATGGCTTCCCCCACCCAGAGCTGCGTGCCCTTCCCGCTAAGCGTGGCTGTCATCCAGCGGCCCCGTGAAGCCTCCTGCTTTTTGTTTTTCATCAACAAACTTTGCTTGAGAGCCACCCTGAGACAGGTACTGCCTTCAACACGTGTTCTTTCAGATAAGGCAGTATCTCAAAGTAAACCGTCCACTCCAGATTATTCTGCAGCCTCCCCTGGTAACACAGAGCCCGTCTCACAGCTCTTCCAGGCAAGATGTTCTTTCCTCTAGCTTCCATCTGGTCCCACTTCCTGTGGGTGCTAGGCAGCGAAAACAGCAGGGGGACGACTTCATCCTTTGTATCCTTGGAAATATGTGGAGTTTGTCCTCAGCTTTCTGTCTTCATCCTGGAAATCTCTTTCTCGAAAAATGCTGCTTTCCAGTTTTTGGTTTTGTTTTTTGTTTTTTTTTTTTCATTTGGCTTCTTTGCCTCGATCCCTCTCCAGTTTACGTTCGCTCACAGCATGAGCACCGTGGCCGAGGTTTAATCGTCCAATGGATCTGGTGTTGGTTAGTCGCGTTTAGTCAGTCCATAAACTCCAGTTCTAATTTGAGGATTTTACCACACTGACTCAGTTTATAATCTTTACCAAAGTCTTCCATTCTCAAGCACATGAACAACTCAGGCCCTCGCTTTATCGTATCATAAAACCAACTGTGGTTTTCCAGTGACTCAGCCTCCTCCTCACCTTCCCTGTGAGCCAGGAGTCTCCTGGATTTGGACCCTTCCAGGGACAACCTCGTCTTGCCAGTGGTCTGTGCACTTACCTTCAGCCACGTCTGTTTCCCATTTGTGTGCCTGGCAATTGTCTGACCTGATTGCACAAGGTCACGATTTACCAGAAACAAGTGATTTACCTGATTGTGAGTCATGCGTGGGAAAGATAAGTGCTTATTTACTTTCTGTGGTGTTCGGGTCATGATGTGCAGGAAGGAGTGCATATATTCTTTACATTCCCTCCTGTTGGCCTCCTGGAGGCACTTCCCCCAGGCTTTGGAACCCCGTTCTGCAGCTTGCTTTTTCTCATTCAACGGCATATCATGGATGACATTCCACGTCAGAGCCAACTGTCGTGTTCAAAAGTTCGGTTGTACTTAACTTCATGGCGTAGATCTGTAATTGATTTTATCACGCATTATTGATTCTCATCTTGCTTTTTTAAATGCTCCAAATGAGTGAAAATGGAGGCACGTTTTTAACAATTCATCTTAGATTTCGTATTTTCTGCACAGCGAATAAATTGGGAACTCTTTTCTTCCTGTTTCTAGCTTATGACCCAAACAACAAACGCCTTCGTCAAATCAAGGACCAGATTCTAACAGACTCTAGATACAATCCCAAGATCCTCTTTCAGTTGCTGTTGGACACTGCACAATTTGAGTTTATACTCAAAGAGGTAACGATCTTTAATGAATAATCACCAACATCTTAGTTTTTCTGTGCTTAAAAATATTTTTAAAGGGTTGAGATTCAATAACGAGTCGTAGTCTTTGATTCAGGCTACAGATTCTAGCAGTCTGAGATCTTATACTAAAAGGACAGGATTAAACATTTAACAGGCATTTAGTGCCTACTGCCATTGGGGATACAGTGATGGGGAAAATTGCACAGGACCATGGAGGTGACAGTCTAGTGAGGAATGTGGACATTAATCAGAGAATCGCACTAATGAAAACGTAAATACAAACTGAGATACGTGCTCTAAGGGAAAGGAACATTGTTCTCTGAGTACCTAAAATCCCTGAGAAGAGAAGCAGGAGCTTCTGAAGGGACCTGAAGAAGGAACCTGTCGGAGTTAGATAAGACAAAGGTCGGGAGCATTCTGGAGACCATTGCAGAGAGAGGACAGAATATGCCTGAGTCCTCTTGGGTAGGGAACAGCATGACCAGTTCAAGGACCAGAAAGAACAGTTGGCTAGAGGGGAGAGAATGAGATAAAAGTGATATGAGATGAGGTCAAAAGGTGGGCATGTAGGCCTTGTAGGATTTCAGTCTTCATCTGCAAAGCCATGAGAACCTGTTAGAAAGGGCTTTTAAGTAGGGTGGATGATTTGTGTTTAAACAAGGTCCACTCAAGGATTTTAAGGATTTTGAGCTCCCTGAAGGAAATTCTAAGGTTGATTGGTCTTATGCCTAAAAGAGCCTCTGTGGGCATAATAAAAATGGTTGATACCCAGGAGTGCCTAGGTTCTATAACCAGTAGCCTTGGCAGTTCGGATCAGGTGGGCCCAGGAGCTAGCCGTGGACGTTAAGGCCCATTCCAAACTGATATTCTCCTTGCCTCAGTCTGGTTAGCGGTCTGCCGGTTTTTTCTTTATCTTCTAGGTGTGCGAGGACACTGTGTTCCCCCGTTCAGTAGCTAAGGAAAAGTACATGCTGATTATTAACATCATGCACATGCGTGTGTTAAGTGTTATTCAGTAACCTGTCTCGGTATAATTTTGTAAGATCAGAGAAACACTACCCCTTTTTGATCTCTTTAAGAATGTTCATGTTTTCTCTCTCAATAGCAAGTCATTATTGAATACCTGCTCTGTTCCCAGCTAGGTGCTAGGAATTCAAAAATGAACAAGGCATGTCCCTCCCATCCAGGAGCTCTCAGTACAGTGGGGAAGAGAGACAGATTAAGCCAAAATGAGAGACCAAGAAAGATCCAAGAGCAGGAACGAGGCATCTTATTTGTTGGTCAAAGCAAACTTCAGAGGCAAGTGAGAGTCACCCCAAGGAATCAGTACACTCCATCCACTTAGGATCCTGAAGCAGGACGCCAGTCACCCAAGAGTTCTGTAGTGTGGGAATTGTTGTGTGGGAATCAGGACAGATCTGGGTCATCTGCCCGACCACGCCTGCATTTCTAATCGTTAATCTTTTTCTGGAATCTGTTGGAATAGAATGGGCAGCTTCCTTCTGTCTGTTCTATTGGAGAGAAAAGAAGACCAACTCATTAAAGATCTTCAAAAGAGAAGGATCTGGTAGAAAGATAAAAATAACTGCCCAATACAAATTGAGCAAAACAAAGATATATTTAATGTCTGACATTTCAGCTCGGTTCTTTAACCTTTATCTCTATCTCTCCCACCTCCCATCCCAACCCTTTTTCTAGAATCACCTTCTGATTCTCTTAGAAACACACTAATTAGACCTGTGTTTCTTCTAATCTTTTGATGAAGGCGCATCTCTTAACTTGAGAACCATCCCCTATCCCAAATTCCATCTTACCAGATATGAAACCTGTGAGGTCAACCTGGGAATGAGTGTCTGAAGGGTTTCAAGCTATTAGGTCTGTAATGAAGGCCTCACAGTGTTATTTTTGTCACTGCTGCTTCGTGAAATGGCATTGATCGGTCCTAGGCATTCAAAAAGACAGATGGACTCTATAAATAATTCCTACTGTTCCTCACCCTGCCTGAGCACTAAGATTCCTCTTTCTCTGGCCCCACAAAATTCCACCAGTCTTTATCCTTTCATCTACAATGAAGTCTTCATCTTTTAACATTCAGTTCGATGCTGAGGAATGAAGAATTTCTTAAGAGAAAAATCAGTATATTCTCATATTTACCTCTTAGGATCCCAGTGAAATAAATCCCTGTAGTTTTGCGACACACTTTAAATAGGTTTTTAAAATTTGTTTCAAGGGGGGAAAAAAGCAAAACCTTGAGTTATACCATTTCCTCCTCTGCTCAACTCTTTACAGGCCTTTAATTTTATGAAGGAGTGAATTAATAAACAGACTTACTGTGTGATCCAAAAGAAAAGATTTTTGTGGGTAATTTAATTCATTATCCACTCATCAGACAAGGATCATGCTCAGCCTTCCCTGACCTATTTTAAATAGATGCAACCACAGAAATTATTACTTGCAAAGGACCTTTGAGCAGTGGCCACCAAATTTAATTTCACATTAAAAATGCTGGTTCCTGGGTCTACCCAAGACCTTTTGAACCAGAATCTTCATGGGGGAGCTTGAGAATCCCAACACTTGAAAGCCATCCAGATGATGAGACGATGCTTATGTGCAGTTGGTCTGAAAACCAATGCAGTGGTCTAGCTTTGCCCCTCAATTTGTACAAAGTAGTGCAGCTTAAGAGATGACGTCAGGGGTAATGTTACTTTTAGATACATATTTTTATAATAAATTGGGTTTCACTCAGGGCTTTCTTTGTAAACTGCCTTATTTGGATTTCCTCTTAAGTAAGTAAATCTCTTCTGTCTCTTTCAACAGATGTTCAAGCAAATGCTTTCAGAAAAGCAAGCCAAATGGGAGCATTACAAGAAGGAGGGCTCAGAGCGGATGACGGAGCTTGCTGATGTCTTTTCGGGAGTGAAACCCCTAACCCGTGTGGAGAAAAATGGTAATTGCTAAAGAGGAAATACCATTGTGTTTGAAATGTACACACGAATTCTTGGAAACACACAGAGTAAAAACTCAACCACATTGTCATCATTGTATGCTAGGACATTGCTGATGAACGTCTAAAGCCTAGTCTTAGCTGCCTCTAGCTTTGGGCTCCTTTTGGCAATGTTCATATCTTCTCTAGACTTGGGGCTTCTTATTTTTGAAGTATGAGGTTAGGCTACAGGGGTTGTTATACTCTGACTCATAGTCCGTAGGTCCATAATTCATCCCCCAGCCTCACCATAGTGTGTCAGCTTATGTGCATTTGCAGGGAGGAAGAGAAGGACCTATAACTGTCCTGATCATCTCAGCATACTTCACTCAAGAATAGTACTAACTACTGGGGCACCTGGGTGCCTCAGTTGGTTAAGCGCCCAACTCTTGATTTTAGCTCAGGTCGTGATCTCACGGTTCGTGAGTTTGAGCCCCTCATTGGGCTCCATGCTGGTGGTGTGGAGCCTGTTTGAGATTCTCTCTTTCCCTCTCTGCCCCTCCCCGGCTCGTGGTTTCTCTCTCTCTCTCTCTCTCTCCAAAATAAAATAAATAAACATTAAAAAAAAAAAAAAAGAATATTACTAACTACTAACATAGGGGTGCCTGAGTAACTCAGTCAGTTGAGTGTCCGACTCTTGATTTCGGCTCAAGTCATGGTCATGATTCATGAGATTGGAGCCCTGCATCAGGCTGTGCACTGACAGCACGAAGCCTGCCTGAGATTCTCTTTCTCCCTCTCTCTCTTCCCCTCCTGCATGTGCACACATATTCTCTCTCTCTCAAAAATAAATAAACATTGAAATAAACAAATAAAATCTTTAATAAAAGAATATTAGTACCTGCTAACATAGATGGTATCCAGGAATCTTGTCTTCTCATGTTTTCTGCTTTTTTTTTTCCCCTCATGCGCCTGCCATCTAGTGGCAGAAGAGGGGACATGCAGACTTTTCGAAACAACACAGCTCAAGCCTTAACGTTAATCATATTAATCCTGCTTCTTTTAGGAAATTTTATCTGTGGGAAAATCATGGTATCACTTAAAATTTTTATATAGATAGAAACCCTTCAAAGTGCCCCTGAATGACCATTCTGAATTTTAAGATGAGAAGCTATTTTAAAAAAAAAAATTTTTTTTTTAACGTTTATTTATTTTTGAGACAGAGAGAGACAGAGCATGAACGGGGGAGGGGCAGAGAGAGAGGGAGACACAGAATCAGAAGCAGGCTCCAGGCTCTGAGCCATCAGCCCAGAGCCCGATGCGGGGCTCGAACTCACGGACCGTGAGATCGTGACCTGAGCTGAAGCCGGATGCTTAACCGACTGAGCCACCCAGGCGCCCCGAGAAGCTATTTTTTTAATGCTTAATGTTTTAACTATGAAATTCATTTCTGATAAAAGTTAATTATACAGTAGAATTTCTCAAAGGTATAGCTTTTTGTTTGAAAAAATTACTCTTTTAATCAGTATGATCTTGTGATTACTATATTTGGCTTTTGTTGATGTATTTGATGTCGAATGGTTAGCCTAAAATATATTTCCGAATTAATTTATTATTCCTAGTAGGAAAAGTTGGTGTGTTTTTAATGATGTGATATAAATTAGCAACATGTTTTGCAGGTCACTACATTTTGTCCGAAAAACAAGGAACCACCTGTAACAGTCTAACCAGATTAATTTTTGAGAATCAGGCACATTCGTCTCTGTTCTAGTCTCTTTTAGGTTCTTATAAATCCCAACATCAAAAAAAAAAAAGAAAAAAGAAAAGAAAACCCCACCATCACTTTAAAGGTCATTCAAAACAGCATCTGGTACTTTTTTTTTTTGGCTGTATAGCATATTTTAGCTTAGGAAATGCTTCCACAAATATTTCTCGTTTGAGCCTTACAGCCTTATGAGGTAGACGTCTTTATTCTTGTTCCACATGTAAAGAAATCAAAGCTATAAAATGTAATCACTTGCTGATGGTAACAACGATTCAGAGCCTGGATTGAACTCGTCACCTCAGACTCTGAATGCTGTGCTTGTTCTGCTACTCTATAGCTGTCCCTCAGTCCTACCAAAAAAAAATCTTTAAAATTACAACCAGTGTTCTTCATGCCAATTCGTGAAATAACTTAGATTATAAGTCCGTAAGTGCTTTTATTAAAGTGAAGTCATCCCATTGATAAAACGAACAAACAAACAAAAATGTTAGGGAATCAGCTTGATGAGATCAAATGAGCACAGCCTTTGAATCTGGCCAGACAGTTGAGAAAAGCCTGGTGCTGCTGTTTAGTGACTGTGTGACCCTGCCTGGGCTCCTTAACGTCTCTGGGCATCAGCTTCCTTATCTGAGAAATGCCTTCCAATTCCTGCCCCCATAGATTGTTGTAAAGATTCAGTGAGAAAAGCTCAGACGTTTGCCGGCCACCTTGAGGGTCCTCAGGGCATATTAACGACCCTTTCTCTGCTGTGTGAAACTGGTCTGTGAGTGCAAATGGCACCCCTCAGCTGTTCAGACGTCCCCTCAACTCACCACACGTTCTTCACCCTCCTGACATGTTGCCCCTTGTTCTCCCAAGGCGTGCCATCGTTATTTTTGTCCTGAAGCTTCTGCCCACATCTGGCCCTTCACCTCGTGACAAACTATCCCTCTGCCCCTCTCTGCCTTTCTCAGATCTTTTACTCACCCTCGACTCTCCAGGACACTGTTCCCGGTAACTTTCTGTCACAATCTTTCAGTTCCTTCCCCACTCCTTCCCACTCCAGTGACCACCTTTGCACACTGGGGTTCACACCACAGACTCAGGCCTTTACACCTTTTCTGCCGGGTGTTAGACTGAGCTACTTAAGTAGAAAGTTTCTTCTCCCCTAGGTCACATACCCAAGGCGTTTTGGTGGTTCCTGTTTGGAGAATCCCAAGGGCAAAGTCAGGTACTGAGGGAAAGGTCTGTGAATAAGGGCTAGATTTGTGAAGGATTGTGGAATAAAATTCAAAGCCACAGCCACCACAGTTCTGGGATTTCAGCAGTCTCTCCTTGTTTCTGTGTTAATAGAAAACCTTCAAGCTTGGTTCAGGGAGATCTCGAAACAAATACTGTCTTTAAATTATGATGATTCAACGGCCGCGGGCAGAAAAACTGTGCAACTAATACAAGCTTTGGAGGAGGTAAGAAAACTCTTTGTAAGCGACAGTTCATGGGGCACCTGGCTGGAGGAGTGTGGGACTCCTGATCTCAGAGTCATGAGTTCTCACCCCCCATGGGGTGAAGAGATTACTTACATAACTAAAACTAATAAATAAATAAATACATAAATAAATAACAATTCTTGGATCATGAATCATACTTGTGGATCCACCCAGAAGATCTGGTCCTGGAAATACAGCTAAGAGAATATTTCATCAGAGCAAAAAAAAAAACAAACAACAAAAAACAAAATACGCTCATTGTGGTATTATATCCAGTGTCTTAAAATTGGGAAAATAATGCAGTGACCAGTGTGAAAAGAATGCTAACAAAAATGATATCTCAACTTGCAGAAACATAATTATATTTAATAATTATGAAGACAACATGGAAACATTGGGAGATTGTGGAAAGGCAGTAAAAGCAAAATCTGTATTTTTTTTGTGTTTTGTCTTGTTGTTAATATAATTTACTTTCAAACTGTCTAACATATGATGCGTAAAGTGTGCTCTTGGTTTTTGGGGTAGATTCCCGTGGCTCATCGCTTACGTACAACACCCAGTGCTCATCCCAACAAGTAGACACCATTTTTAGATTGGGAGAGAGTTTGGGGAGAGAAAAACTACAAAGGAATGCGCAACAATGACCACAGTTGTATAATGATCATATGCTTATATGTGATGTTTTCTCTTCTGGAAAAAAAATAGTTTGTTTTTTATCTACTCAGATATTATCTACTCAGATTCAAAAAAGAAGGATTATACTTCCCGACTCTTAAAATTTTAATTGTATGCTTAAGTAGGTTTAAACTAGCTTTAAACTAGGTTTTTAAACTAGGTTTAGGGGCGCCTGGGTGGCGCAGTCGGTTAAGCGTCCGGCTTCAGCCAGGTCACGATCTCGCGGTCCGTGAGTTCGAGCCCCGCGTCGGGCTCTGGGCTGATGGCTCAGAGCCTGGAGCCTGTTTCCGATTCTGTGTCTCCCTCTCTCTCTGCCCCTCCCCCGTTCATGCTCTGTCTCTCTCTGTCCCAAAAATAAATAAACGTTGAAAAAAAAAAAAAAAAA